ATGGTTCAGAGATGGTGTAACCGTAATGAACGAACAGCAGAAGCACTACAAGGGCACTGCAATGAGGTTTGGGAGGAAACACGTGGGTCTGATATCTGCTCAAGACTGGTGGGCTCGATGAGGGAACGTCTCCAAGCTGTTATAGAGGCAGATGGCGGCTACACAAGATTTTAAGAATTATAATTTTATAAAAGAATTGTATATATTTTTAACAACCAAAGAATTAGCATTTTCACTATCTCTTCTAGTTTTAGCCCTTGTCTCGCACTAAGCTATGGGTCGGCGCAATATGTTTTTCGTCGCTATTCATTTCTGTTATCCGTTATCTCAGTATATTCAGACCTATAACACGCATAGCTTTTTACGCATAGCATTTCACTACCTACTGATTTTTTTTATTTGTATTAAAATATAATTAATCTACATTCTAATGTAGGATATTTGTAGACTATAAGACTTTATTTACGATATTCTAACTCTAAAGTATTTAAACATACAAACAGACAGACAGAAAAAAAAATATTTTTGGCTTCTATTAGTCTTATGAAGGCCGTCCATATATTTTTTTTCCAAAATATCTTACAAATGTAACCTTGTTACATTTTTATTACAGGTATAGATAATTACTGTTAAAGGTTACGTCAATATGATGAAGATAGCGATAATGACGTGTACTTGACGTGTCAAAAAATTAATGCTACGGAAAATCAACCTTGTTGTTAGTTGACGTAACACGCGAAATTCAACCTTAGGGTGGTAGACCACTTTCTTGGCCGACTGTACTTTTCCTAAATTTCATAACGTGCCAGGTAAGATGGGGATTCGTTTGAGCGATCTATAAGGTCGCTTTTGCAAAAAAACCCTTAAAAATATAAATATATATCTGTATACCAAATTTCAACAAAATCCGTTCAGTAGTTTCGGCGTGTTTGACGGAGAAACATACAAACAAAGAAACTTTCATATTTATAGTATTAATAGGATGAGAACATGACATACATTGCTCAGATCTTATTATTAAGTAGTACTTGTATTATGGAAATCTGAAACAACGAAGGTACCTAACACAATACCCAAACACTAGACTATATGGAAAAGTTAATATTCTACATTGACCCGTCCAGGAATCGAACCCGAGATCTTTGAGATGGCGACACCTTGAAACCGACGAGCCACTCATCCATAGAGATCATTATCTAAGTTATGGAAAGTAATTTTGAAATACTAATAATATAGAGAGCGCAAAATGTTTTTCAATGAAATTACGAATATAGTGTCATTACCTTACACGTATAAGATAATATACCCTACATATTAGATCTAGGGACTCTATTTCTTAGCCACTTACGGTTAGAATCATTTAGGACATTTATTTTGTAAATTTGAACTCGACATTTATATGTATTCCTTGCGATAAACAAATAGGAGGCCCCTAAGTTTCAAATTTTACATATGTAAACAGACGATTCTGAATTTTCGTATACTGTAATGACTAATGATATTTCTGTGTTAATAAACAACACAGAAAAAGAATTATTGTACCATCTATCCAACGCATCTATTCCATTAAAATATATAACTTTATTATCCTTATCAGATATTTATGATAATTCTATCAAATTTGATATCAATGCGGATAAATTATTTTCACGGTCATATCACACTTTTATCACTGGATATTGTACACAGATTTTGTTTTGATTTATCAAAACCTATTATGTATTTTATTTAAGATAAAGTTCAAAACATATTATACCTAATACAGAAAGTACATTATTTTCAATTTTTTGGTTAATTATGTTAAGAGGGCTGCAAAGAAATATCAATCTTTTTATTGATGATGAATAAATATAGCAAAGGGAAGAGATTGCATCAAAATATGAATTTAATAAATCGTAAAAAAGAAAACATAGAAAATATCCCCTTTTTCTACTTATATGGAAAATTCATAAATATGCGAGTCATTTTGTAATCGAAGGTTTATTGAGAAATTTTACTACAATCATCATAATTGTTTCCGAGTAATAAATTATAGTTAACGACGTAAGCCAGAGGTTCACGCAGTACACTGTCCTCTGGCCGTATTAGCCTCATTGACTGGCCTTTTATTTATTCTTTTATTTTAACGGGGTTTTTATTCATTAGAACATTTTAACCACATCGTACCATACTTAAATCTAAACTAATTTTATTAGAATATCTCACTAGAGAATTTTTTACAATTTATCTTAAATTTACCAGTAACTTACGCTTTGCTAAAATACTTTGAATTAATCCAATATCTAAACATTTAATTTTTTGTTTATATAACTCTGTATTTTAATGAAAACCGCGTCAAAATCCGTTGTGTAGCATCTTTTAAACTACAGACATACATACAGACATACAGACAACGGGCTAGAATTAATATCTAACCCATTTACGATTTTTTCGTAAACGAGTTAGTTAGTTTCTATACTATATTTATGTGATGCATATTCTTTGATGTAGCAGTCAACCATGTCAGATTAATCAAAACGATAGGTTCAAGTCTCCATCTGTGATGTTTAAAATCTATTTCAGAACCTTGTTATTTTGTGCTACCAATAAATAAATAGCTAAATATTAAAGAGTCTCGTCAAAACTTACCTAAATCAGTAAAGCAATCATATTTATATCAATAGAAACAAATAAAAGTTGTTATTCAACAAAAACGTGTATTACGTTTGCCGAGATATATAATCCATCGAAATTGATAGTAAAAATGAAAACATATCTCTCTGATATTTAAGATATTCATGGTCAGTTGCACAAACGTCCATTAAGGTTTAATGACGCCTTTAAACTCCAATGAATGGCCAATTTGTATCGGTAATGCGTTAATGGACGTTTGTGCAAATGGCTGAAAGTTTAGTAAGATTCTTTTTAATCTAGCAAGTATCAAATGCAAAGAGCCTATATATTCTTACAAATGTTTTTAGGAAAATTTTGATTATTTGTTTGTTTGCAACGAAAAAGTTCCGAAACTACTGAACCGATTCGAAAAATTCTTTTATCTACGGGAAGCTATATCATTTGCGGCGACCATAAACTATATTTTGTCCCCAAAAACCAGGGCTTGAAATCGGTTCAGAATATACCGTTTTTATTTAGGTAAAACCTGTTCTCTTATAATAAATGCGGAGTGAAATTCGGATGGAATAAAAACCGGTTAATTCTTTTGGTTCATAAAAAGCAATGTTCTTACGCTTTTAATGGGAATTATATCATTTTTAAGCGACGACATCTACCATACCCGTGATGTTATAGATAGGAGTAAAGGCAATTAAAAACCGCGCTGAAGTTTGTGAGATCATTGTTTGGAGTCATATTTAAACCGGTTAATGAAGAAAACCGTATTGTTAGTGAACCAGTTTAAAAACCTGTTCAAAGGAGCTGAACTTTTTATGTAAAGTTCCGCATGTACTTACGTCGAACCGGTTCAAAAATTAACCGGTTTCCAAGCCCTGCCAAAAACATCAATTGAAACGGGATGGAAATGGGAATGGAAATTTGTATAGGGAATTAAAGCGTTGTCATAGTAATGATTGTTTACTATTCAATTTGTCATTGTAATTATATTATATGAATATCCATTATATCATATGAATATAAATAGTTTCCTTAGACCACGCGGGCAAAGCCACTGGCGGAAAGCTAGTATAGGTCATTGTTTACAATTGTACATTGACACATTATACGTTAATATTTAATTTTTTGAAGTTTTTTTTCAAATATCGCACGTTGAGAATGTCAATGTCACTAACCAAAAACGACGTATTTTTTACTTTTGGCAACATTTTTCCTTGTTAAGTATAAACTTTCAAATGCAAAGATCCCTGTGAACGTAGCTTGCCTAGAAACTGCTAGGTGGCGTTCGAGTTGCGGATTATCTTGGGTTTATGCAGCCCAGTATCACTGCGACCATTGCTGATAGTGACGATACATTGTTTAGAGGGGCTGATTACAATTTCTTGAACTTTAAACGCTCATTACTCAAAATCGCATTTTTTGCATTGTGTCACTATCGTTCTCAACGTGCGATATAATGTATGATTTTATTAAATGAGATATTTTTTAAGGAAGAGAATTGATAGCCATTTTAATTGAAATTTGATTACTTGACATAGGCCATGAATAAAAAAAAAAGAAGAAGATGATTGTTTGACATGCTGCTATTTTATATGACCATAGAATAATAATAAAAAATTTATTTAAAAAAATTTAGTACATTATAAGGTAAAAAACAAAAGTACAGAGTCTAATAGAATGGAAAATCAATAGCTGAAATCTATAAACAATATTCATTCAAGGTTTAAATTAATGTGGTTTCTATGACCTTAAAGTTTTTTTATTTTAAAATAAAAAAGAATGAAAATGGCATGCCACGCGGAATGGGGTATGATTGGGCCCTTCGATAAGTGGTAACTGGTAATTATGACCCTCTGGTATCAGTGATTTATAACTTAGTTATATCAAATCCAAATAATTTATTTAGACAAGCACTTGTGAAAGTTGAAACTCTACATATGTCATCGGTTCGTATATCTACAGTGATAGACTTTGTACCGAGAAAAATCTAATACAGTTTATTATTTTTTTTAATTTACCTCAATCTTATTGTACAGTCTAACAGCACGTCAGTTTAGACAGTGAAAATGTTTAACGCTAACACCACAAATTATAGAATAGTTATTAATTACACAATTTTTAATATTCAGCGATTGTAATTTGAACAAAATCAATCAATCGGTGTACTAATTACACATAGTTCGTATACATCTAATTCAATATGATTATAGATACTCAGGGTGAAAAATTAGTACAAAAACACTTATTTTTCTTTATTAATTAATTACTCAAATGAAAATTGCGAATGTGAATCGAACTATTTACAAACTGGTATTCAATAAATAATAATGTAAATTGAGTCTAAAATAAAACTTTTAAAAGACGAGTATATATTTTAATGTGTTACTTACTTCGTGTTAGTTTGACGAAGTTCCACTTTCAGCGCACAATCACAGCAACAAAATGATTGGTCAATCAACGCGACAGCTGAACATGATATGCCTACCCACTAGTACATATAGATATCAAAGGTACCAGTCACAGATAATACCACATAAATCAGATCAGTTATTACTCAATATCAAGGAAACCACTTCAGTTTACATGAAGCTCTATAAACTGACTGATTTAGTAAGAAAAAAATATTTTATTTATCTACTAACGCTATTGTTTCGGAAATCCTATGCGTCGGAAGACTTTGTAGCGAAAAGATGCGGCAGGTAAAATATAAATATTAACAATACTTGATCAGGATTTAAAAATGTTACATTGCTCATCAATAATTCAGTGATGCCTAGTTTTTCTTTTTGAATTTACTATTCTTATTATGCTGTACGGTCAAGTACTTTACGGTGTTGTTATAGGAGTAAGTTGAGAATTAATTCCTTTTTATTTGGCTTTGGTCGAATCCTAACACAATATCTAGAACTTTGGAAATCTGTACTTACCATAATCGTCCATGTCTGATTTAATAGGTTCTACTCAGACTTCTATCTACCTAATATCTTCACACCATATCCCTTGCGGGGTAGACAGAGAGGACCGAAGTAATTTTCGGGTGTATTTAAGCATAATCGGAAGCAAAGGCGCTAATTAATCCCTTTCATTTGATACCCTATATGTATATATTTTTTAGTTTCTTATTTTATGCTCTCTATAAGGCGTTGCTGCTAATTTAATGTAACGTCACATAGATTATATGACGCGAACAGATAAGACGCTTCTAATGATACGATGAGTAGTTTCGAAGTTTTAAGGGAACAGATGAATATTATTACATACATCCTTTTCGCTTCGCCGTAGTAGGATAAAAATATTTCAAAATTTAATTTTCTCAAATTTTCGATTTATTTAATACTAGCTGTCCGCCAGCGACTTCGATTTATACAACGGGCCGTGCAGCAGAAATCGTAATATTTTAATTTCGCCATAACTTCAAACCAAACGTCCAATTTTAATAATTCAAAGACCAAATATTATCTACATAAACTGTACTTAGTGATGTCATAATTTATTTTGATAGCATGAGTTTTTACTCATGCTATTAATCCTTTAAAAACAGTGTTTAAATGTAGTAAAAAAAAAACAAGATTTTAAAATAAAACAGTGGTTGTTATGCCTCACTCGACATAGATAGGTATAGTGTGTCGCGGACTTTTTTGTAGATATTATAAGATCTACAATTAGTTAATTAGAACGTTTTATGGTTGTATCATTTATAGTTTAGGCAACGTACGAAAAATAAGTAACTTTCTGGTTGATTTATTACACTTTGTGCCCGAAAAACCCAAATATCTTACGGAACCCTATTTCTTCCAAAATAAAATATAGCCTATGTTACTCATTGATAATGTAGCTTTCGAATGATGAAAGAATTTTTAAAATCGATCCAGAAGTTTTTGAGCCTGTTCATTACAAACAAACAAACAAACAAACAAGGTTTTCCTCTTTATAATATTAGTATAGATTATAGGTATTCAAGATATATTCTATAATTAGTATCCGATGCTTTCGGTTACAAAGCGATTGATATGATAGGTATATACATTTCTATTATTATAAAAAATTATAACCTTTTTTTATGTCTAGTAAATAATAGACCGAAGTGCCGAAGGTGAATTTCTTTTCCTACAAAAAGTGTTGTTATATCATATGATGGAATTGACAGATCAGTAAATATTCTCGAAATAAGTAAATTTTGTGAATTAACAGTGTAATTGGGCTTTAATCTATTTGAAATTTATTCTATTTCTTTATTCTATTTGATTTTGGTTATGACTTGGTTATCTTAAGAAGGCGTGTATTACGTCTTTCTAGACAAAGGGGAATAATATTCTTAGAAATACAAACACTTGTTTGTCGTAAGCTTGATTTAATATTTTAATCCATTTGAAATTGTAGTAATTAATAAAGTCGATTCATTCTAATATTTATGATTATTATTATCAAGGTCTAGTTTAATTTGCTTCGATATCAAACTAATTAGCCAACAATTTACTATAGAAATTTGCAATAATTAAAGATAAGCTTCTTCCTTGGACTTCGACAAATATTTCAGAAATAAGAGTAACATATTTGGTCGCTCTCATGAAACTCTCATTTTCAGTTGGGCCACAAAATGGATAAAGTGGTAAACAAAAAATACGTACCGAAAACAATGAGTTTAATAACTAGAGAAGCAATCCCATACAACAGACGCGCCAAAAAGCGTAGCACTTTTCCGAAATCAGGACGTAGCTTTGCAAATAATATTTATACTATATAATATAAATAGATTTATTATATTTGTCTCCCTCATATCTACGATTAAACTTTAAATTAAACAAAGACAGAATATGTGCGAACGACAGAATAAACGGAAAAATGGGTAATTGAAATTGTATTTCCAGCTGTCGAAAATTTCACTCATTGTGATGAATGAATGAGTAGTGTAGATATATGTATAAAATCAATTAGTAAAATACTGTAACTTTGAAAATTTCTTTGAAAAAAAGAACAATCATGAAAGTAAGCTCTGTGCATATATATCCCTTTGTGTTTGGATAAAGTCAGTGGCTAAGACAAAAACATTTGTCAAAGTTCATAAAACATCAAACAAAGGTTCAATTTTACGTATTTTCAAAAGTTGTATCTCGACAACTAACGAATTCCACACATTGAAAAAATTAAACGTGTATAAAAAAATTATCAACACAATTAGCGCAGTTGCCTATACTTAAGCTGAGCTATATAATTAATTATAAAAAGATATTTAGATAAATTATAGCCACGTAAAATAAAAAGAAAAGGCTGCCATATACTTGGGAAAATTGAAAGTGAATAGCAGTGGCAACACTGTCGACAAAATGTCGAAATTTTATTTGTGAAAATTAAATATTTTTATTTTATAACCTAGCTTTAATTTTGTATTTATTGTCAAAAATGTTAATGATTTAAGTGTGAAACTTAATATTCTTTCGCATTATGTGTATTTGTGAAAGAGAATCGTATTTTATCCACTGTTTTTCTTCGTTTTTACGGAGCATTTTTTTGTACTTTCTTGGCGGGAGTTGAATGAGTAATGAAGTGAAAAACGAAAAAACTAAGACAAACGTCTTAGTTTTAGTAGCTTCAGATTTTTGGTATGTATTGCGTATCTAGACATATTAATATCATTGACCGAAAATGGTTTGAATGAGAGCGCCTGTGCGTGTGCGTCGTCGCACGCCCACTCTCGAAATTCGATGATAAAGGTAAAAAATATGTCGAATTTCTGTAGCTGATTTTATACTTTATACTCGAAGAGTTAAGGTTTAAAATCGAGAAATTTGACAAATTTATTAATCTGACGTGCTGTTGACTGTACTATAAAAATTAAAACATTAAAAACTTAAATATTATGATAAAATAGTTAAGAAGAACTATAATCCTACTAATATTATAAAGGCAAAAGTTTGTAGGTTGGAATGTTTGTTATTTCTTCAAGCAAAAACTACTGAACGGATTTTGATGAAATATGGTATTCAGGCAATTTTATTCTGGATCTGTGGGTTTAGATTACGTTTCTTCTAAAGATCGTTTAGATTATATAAATAATGTTGTTTTTTATATGACGAATGTATTTTAGCTATAGTGGTAGTTTCTTTTTTTATTACTGTTTGGAGATCATACGGGCTTAAACTATGATTTTGATTATTGGTATAACTAAAGGTTTGTAAATATTTAAAGCGGGTATTATTGAATTTGGAGCCATTTTCAATTAAATGACTTAGTGTTTGAATAGTGGTGTTTTCAAAAATCAAAATCAAAATCATTTATTCAGTCTAGGCTGTTACAGGCTGTACGAGTCAATGTACATTGTATGTAGGTAAAAATAATAGTCTGATCAGCATTTCAAGTTCAACGCTCTGTAACCTAAATTCACGTATTAATTATTGTCATTTATAATTTTATTACATTAAATCAGTGTACAAACAGCACTCATTGGGTTTGGTGATTTATTACGTTTCCCTCTCCCTACATATCCGTATAAACTGTAGGTATCCCCTACACAAGCACTTGTGAAAGTCGAGAGCTACGCCATCGGTTCGTTATTACAAGGGCATTTGTCGGTAGTTTTTATTTTAAAGCGGTGTAAATACTAGAGAGAGTTTGTTTATATAATCTTAAAATAGTTAAAAAATTCTTAGTCTGGATTAACATAAAGGCAACTTTTTATCCCACTAAAAGGTTCCCGAGGGATAGAGGTTTGAATCAATCCTCATTCTCGTCATATCCAAGCGCGCCTATTTTTGTGAACTCTATTTAAACGGTAAGAGATATACGAATGTCTTCTACAAAAATGTTAGAGTGCTTTAAAGTTTCAAACGGAACAAAAACTTCATCCAGGTTTCAAACAAAGACATCGATCATATAACAAAAAGCTCCTTTATAACGGGTTGACGCATTTGGTGCATTTCGCAACTTTTGCGCAGGTAATTATCTTATAATCAACATACGAGGGTCAAACTGAAAGTTCTTAGAACTGGCCACTTATAAACAATATAATAAAAAAATAATTCTAAAATTTGAAAATATAACTCTTTGCCAATATTACTGAGTATATATTTCATTCATTTGTCATTTGTTTTACGATTTGGCGGCAAATTGAAAATTGTCTGTGTCACGTCATCATGAATTTAACACGAGAAAATTTTCGTGCAATGATTTTTTATGACTTTCGATGTCATTTAAGTCAACAAGAAAGTTATGATAGACTACGATTGGCCTTTCACGATGAAGCCCCATCTCGTGCGACTGTTTACAACTGGTTTAATGAGTTTAAACGTGGTCGCACTAATCTCACTGATGATTTACGTGAGGGACGGCCTTCTACGGCGACGACTGAAGATAACATCTGTGTTGTGCGGCGTATGATAGAGACTGACAAAAGAGTGACCTATCAACAGATTCGGACAAGCTTAGGCATCGGTATGAGTCAAGTGCACAAAATCCTCCACGAACATTTAGCGGTCAGGAAGCTTTGCGCCCGGTGGATACCTCATAATTTGACTGAGGCTCAAAAACTCCATCGTGTGGATTGGTGTCGTAAAATGATTGAAAGATTTAACGGAGGTGACTCAAATGCTGTGTTCGACATACTAACAGGTGACGAAAGCTGGATTTACTGTTATGATCCTAAAACCAAAAGACAGTCTGCTCAGTGGGTGTTTCCTTTCGAGGAGTTGCCAACTAAAGTGAAGAGAGATCGAAGTGCGGGAAAAAAAATGGTGGCCTCGTTCTTTGGAAGGATAGGTCATTTTGCAACAATTGTGTTAGAGGATCAAAAAACAGTTTCTGCAGAATGGTACACTACCAATTGTTTGCCACTTGTCTTGGAAAAAGTTCGAGAGAAACGACCTCGCAGTAGGATCCTCCTTCACCACGACAACGCCTCGTCGCACACCGCCAAGCGAACGATCGACTATTTGGCGACATCAAACGTTGAATTACTGGGTCACCCGCCGTATAGCCCCGACCTCGCGCCTTGTGATTTTTATTTATTTCCAAAAATTAAAGAAAAACTTAAAGGAAAGCGGTTTATGAATGCTGAAGAAGCGGTGGCTGCGTATCGCGATGCCATTGAAGAGACCCCTAAGGACGAGTGGGCAAAGTGCTTTTCCCAGTGGTTCCATCGCATGCAGCGGTGTATTGACGTGAATGGACAATATTTTGAAAAGATATAATAAAACTAATAACTGGCTAATGTAATCAGTTTTTGATTTTCTAAGAACTTTCAGTTTGACCCTCGTACAAAGTTCTAAGTTTTTTACATTGATTTCATTGCACTATGGTAATGGATTTGTTTATAACCTTCTTGTTTCTTGGAACCATTATGAAGAAATATGCGATATTGCACTGGACGAAAATAATAGTATTAAAAATTAAAATAAGTTTCTCCTGCAATCATAGAGTACATTGACAAATAATTTCAGTACTGGTTTTCTCAATTGCACATTTTAATTGGAAATTCGTTTAAAATTTAATGTATAACGTAAAATGATCGGAGATTACGATAAAATAAAATTGTCCCGGGTAAATTTTGTGAAGTTACCTTACCAGTAATAATGGCTTGTCATACAAAATTGCCCAGTAAGATTCGCCTTGAAGAAGAGCTAGCTATCAAAGGGGCTCATTTGCTCGGTCCAAGCCTGGAGTCGAAATTCGATGAGCTTCGCTATGAAATAGTCAACAAGATCGAGAAAGAACTCGTCGATTCACAGAACGCGAGAGACTTTATATCGCAAAAGTACGACGAGCTGTGTAATAAAATACAATATTTAACCGAGTTGGATGCCACCGTGACAGGCTTCAGGAGTGACGTGAAATCGATAGAGAAACACATAGCGGAGCTTACAGCCAGAATAGATGATATCGAAAAGAGAACAATATGTAAAGAATGCCCTTCGATTACGTCTTCTATGTTTTGATGGTTTCGTTTAATAATATATATATATATATATATATCGTAATGTACGTTTTTTATTTTTGGTAAATCCATGTATAAAATAAATAAATAAAAATACTTAAAAAATGACGGGGTACCTGGGATTGGCGAATTTTTCAATAATTTTTCGTTAAAAAATAATTATTTATCAATATGCACTGTGAATGCAAAATTTATCAAATTAATAGTCGTTTTCACATACAAAAAGTATTTTTTTTTTAATTTCCTATTCTAATTGACTGCCTTCAGATGAATGCGTATATGTGCATATAGATATACGGACAGGTTTTTCTTATCAGGCTGTTGCGTTAAAATAATGATAGATTTAACGAAACAACATTAAAATATAAAATGCATATTTTTATATTTAATAAATGCATACTTTAACTCTTTGTGGTAAAAAAATGTATATAAGAAACCTGTATCATCAAGAAGTTGTTTGTGATAGGGTTTAATAATAATAATATGGATATATTAAGTTCGATTTATATCGGTTATATAAATTTGGACAAAACTAAAATCATATTCAACACATATCTTTAAAAAAAGTGAAACATTTACTATTATTTTAATTAAACAACAATAACATTATCCTTATTTATTACTTACAATATAAATGACATAACATTTTCTACCTTACAAATCCAATTATTTGGCACATCCCCATTATTTCAAACTAATAAAAAATAGGTAATTTTTACCATTTTAATTAAAAAATTATATTGAAACAGTATTAATTTTTTATAAATTAACTAATTACATAAATAAGGGAGTTTTGAATCTACATTATAAAATAAATTAAAATATCTACTAAAATAAGAACTTCTAAAAATCATCTACACATAATTTGTACATATTCAAATGCTATTTAGTTTAAAATAAAATATAATATAAAACTAAATTCTTCTTATATTTAAACATCAAATTAATATGGTGGATACAAAACTACTTCTTTGGTCATCTTAATTGTTAATATATAAAATAACACCTTTTTTTTAAATTAATCTCGTTATTAAAAGCTTGGTATAGCAGTAATGTCATTTCAGGCTCCAGTCCTATAAATATGAAATATCCATGTAGATTTAGAATAAATTAAGACTAGAACCCACAATCATCATTTAAAAATTTTGATATTTTTATAATAATATATTTCATAAACGTTGTATAAATGCCCATCTGGGCTCTAACGAATGTTCTAAATTTGAAAATTTGTATCGTTAATGTCTTTTAACTAATGACTCTTTCAATGGACGTTTGTGCAACGAACAGATAGTGTTTAAAAAGCCATAATAAATCCGGGTGTTCACTGGGCAACTTTATTGTTTACACAAATATAAATTCAATTATATTAAATATACAAGTTATCTTATTACTATGCGGCATGTCAAGATGTACTTCCATTTACACGTAATATTATAATTGTGAGTTATTTAAAATTCATGCACAATTAAATTCAAAAGTAAAAATTTGCTGTGATTTAAATAGATAAATAAAAAACACAACACACAGATGCGGATGCGTGTTGCAGGAGTTCATAAGTTTCTCTATAATAGTTTAATATATATATTTTTTTTACAAATTCCTCGGGGGAGATCGTAGCTACAAATGGCAAGTGTGGACTGCCAAAGTCCAGAGACAGTGTTTACAATTTAGTTGATAATTCATAATTATTTTAATTTAACTTAATCTTAACAAACGTTCCCAAATGAACACCTGGCTTAACACAGTTACCCAAAGTACCGCTACTTTACTTTGACTCCCCCCTCCCACTCCTCATAAATATAAATTTATTTGAGTGATATTAATATCGCCAACGCCTTACGTATATCAGTCAAAACTGTACACTTACAAATAGACGTTAAAATATGATAATTTCATAACATTAATAGTGAAAAACTTATATTTACTATCTAGACAACAGCAGTGCTAAGCACATAAATATAACAAAATGTGATTGATTTCCTTCAGGTGCATTTCTTTATAATTTTCTGTTAAGAGCTGATATTAAACCTACGTAACCTAAGAATATTATAATCACAATGCATCATGGAGCCTTTATATCTAACACAATTTCTGTAATGATACTCGTACATAAAACATCCAGATATTGATTCAACTAAATATAAGTAATTAGTAACATACAGTTCAACAAAAGCAGTATTAGATACAATTTACCGTCTGCCGGCTAGAATAGCCTGGATTTGCGAGACGGTCTTCCCTTTCGTCTCCGGAATCAAGAAGAACACGAAGAAAGTGCAGACGACCATGAAACCGGCGAAGAACCAGAAACAGCTGTATATTCCGATAGCGTTCTTCATCAGGGGGAAGCACAACGTCACCACGAACACCAGGAACCAGTTCACGATCACCGTGATCCCGGAAGCCGTGCCTCGATACTCCACCGGGAACAGCTCCGCCATCATCATCCAGGGGATAGGCCCGAAGCCCATCGAGAAGGAAATGATGAAGAGGACCAAACATACCAGAGGAAGCCAACCGACGGCGGCCAAGGCGGCCCCGCTCTCCTGCATCTTGAAGTAAACACCGAGAACGATCAAGCAGATCCCCATGATGATGCAACTCTGGAGGAGGAGGATTCTTCGGCCGGCGCGTTCGATGAGCAAGGAGGATATGTAGGTGGCGATGGTCTGGACGACGCCGACGATGATGGTGGCGATGGCGGGCGGGATGTTGGAGCCGGCGGACTGGAAGATCTGGTTGGTGTAGAAGATGACGGCGTTGATGCCGCTGAACTGTTGGAAGAACATCAGCCCCAGCGAGCACACGAACGCCGTGCGCGGCGCGCGCTCCGTGAACATGCGCCGCACGCCGCCGCTCTGGCGCGACGCGTTGTCCACCTGACATCAAGACGAGCGTTTTTTATTACAAATCTAACCGGAAGAATCCCGATAGGTGAAATTCGAGTCGTGCATTTTGTTGTATACTCAGTAATTTTAGCTTGCTACTAAATATTATTTTGGTATCCAGGATAATATTTTCTCTTTGAAATTTTTTTCGATTGCTCAAAGTAAAACTGTTCTTCTGATCGTAAAAGTTAAATCGAAAGAAATCTCCTAAATTAATTTCTTATCGTAATAATAACTGATAATAGTTTATATGAGTTTTTGAGCTTGTAAGTAATTATAAAGTTATCAGAGCTTAATAATTTAATATTACTAACTTCTTTCTGCATGTCCTCAAGTTCAGCGGTGAGATCAGCATCGGGGCCACGTAGCCAACGAAGTGCCCTCTCCGCTTCTCGTCTGCGATTTTTACCCAGCAAATATTGAGGAGTCTCGGGCATCCACCTGATTAAAGAATAAATAAATTTATTTGAACCTTCAAAAGGACGGAGTACTATTAGACGGAGAGAGCTCGTAACAAAGAAAAAACAAGTGTTGCAAAGTAAATTATCCAGTTGATATTAACACTCGGTGGCGCCGAGGCGCTTAACTTCCACATACTGAAGTATCACCGTTACAAAACTTTTATATTTTACGAACGAGTTCTTGTACCTACTAAAAATCATAAACATTAGCAAAAAATGTAAGTAACTTTACTTGTTTGCTTTCATTAATTGCGACTAGGTTAGGCGTTTTTTCGCAGGACTTTTAAATCTTTTCGATGAGAATGCAATAATTATTTAATATTAAACAAAACTCAAATTAATCCATGAAAAGAATAATCAAGTAAATAAGATTCTTACCAGAAAACAATAACCAGTAGCGGAGGTAACACAGCAGAGATGATAGAGAGAGTCCTCCAGTGAGTCCAACCGCCCACGACGAATGTAAATAATATGCCGACCGTTAGAAACAGTTGGAAGAATGCACCCAATGATCCTCTGATAGAGGTCTCAGCTATCTCACCGATGTACATGGGTGCGGCTACGCAGATTCCACCTGCAATCAATGTAACCAAGGTTTTAGTTCTCGAAGAAATATTGTAGCAACTCATTACAATGCTTGGATATTATTCATATAACCGAAGAGTATTTATTGCTTGCTAATTAAAAACATCGCACAAAATAAAACAAAATTACAGTTCCTCCTTCTAAACTATGAAGTTAAATAACCAACCTGTTCCGAGTCCTGCTATAAATCTAGCGGCGATGAGCATGCCGGCTCCGTTGGCGAAGATGATGAGCAACCAGTTGAGCATGAACGGTACCGCTAAGAGCAAGATGGTGGGCCGTCTGCCGATCTTCTGAGCGAGGTAGCCCACCGGTAACGCCACAATTAACGCACCGATAGCTAGGATTGATGATGCCAAGGAACCTGAAAGAAAGGAATTGATTTATTTATTAGAGGGTCGTATTTTTTTGCGAATCTACTAAACTTTACAAAAGAGAAGTAACATAGGAAGATGTATTGGGAAATTATCTGAATGAGAAGAGAGAGTTCAGAGTACGCATATCTCTGCGATAGTGATGGCATTTATTTTTAGGACAAGCAATGCGCGAGCCACGCCCATATTTATGGAGATTGAAAACAAATTGAATGCAGTTATTAAGACCATGGTAAAGTTTATTGAGCAGATATTCATTTAGAATAAATCTTAAATGGATATTGAAGCATTCAATTTTGACTCCCAGAATATCTATATAATAATTTATTTCTGTATCTACGTCATAATTCAACTAATTCTTATATCAATACAAACGTATCGCCAAAATATCCCATTCATGTGATTGGCGTGTAAATTACTTATGTCTGATCATCTGACGGATACTTGGCTTTCTTCCAACACTTGCTGTCGTCAACAACGTCAATGTAAAGCGAAAACTACTCGTATTACGATGTAAGAGAGTTGGTTTTTGATTATATCCCCAATACGTTCAATGTCTCCGTGGGTGTGGCACGTTAGTCGTGAAATTGCAAAAATATGCTTACGCTTGACAGGATTGTTCCGAGTTATTTTGAGGAGAATGATGAATGTAGTGGTTAAATAGATTTTCTCAATTATATAGCAAGATGTAAACTATTCTTTATTAAATATGTTTTAGACACTAGCAGATAAAATAGAAATATAAAAAAAAAATCTTTTCGATATTATCGGACAAGAAAATCTTTATTTTCGATTTTAAAGTTTCATATTGATTTACTGATTAATGCTACTCCTGTTATGAAGTGACACATGTGATCTTAAATTTAGTTTCTATTGCAAACAATGATAACTCCGAGGTGAAGGAAAAACATAGTATTCGTAAGTTACTAGTAAAATAAGACTGTTGGCATGGCGACTAGAAAATTTATCGTATTATAGTAATGAGGTAGTATTTAAAAAAAAACAAAGGCACTAAAAAAGCACCTCCACTAGATGGCGACTCTAGCAAAAGTTGATTTTTGCAGGAAACGAATAGAACAAAGGCAGTCATTTCCGTTTCTTTTAACTAACATTTTAAAAAGCTGAAATTTGCAAAGTTGGAAAGTTAGATATATGTAAATACGAAACAAATACGAAAAAGTACAAATTGAAGAAATCAAGAATGTACCGTAGCGACATCTAGTTTGATTTCGGGAACTAATGTCTTTTTTTTAAATACTCCCTCACTGTAAAAATTCACTAATTCGATTATTGATATCCCAATTTGCTTTCATTCTTGTGCTATTTTTAGTTCAACCGAAGTGAACTAAAAATAAGATTGAAATTATATTGCGTTTGAGTTCTGAAAAATAATAACTTACTATCTTTGGTGTCTAGTAAAAACTCCGCGGGTTGTCCGAGAGAGTTGATCAGGGTTCCGTTATTGTTGACAAATATGACTGTTCCATCTCCGGTTCCGTTGGTTGCATTAACATTTAATTTCATGGGCTCAAGTTGAGGTAGAGCTGGCGACGTCCATGCTAAAATGGTGCCGGCTATCACTGCTCCTATGGCGGCTGAAAAATAACAATGGATTTTGTTTAAAGCCGTTTGTTTTGTTACAGAATTTCAAATGTATATTGGAATTTAAGATGACTGCGAAAATATTAAATTGAGTATGTAAGTATTTCATCCGCTAGCACAATTTTTAATCAGAACTAGTTAATTGAAATAACATTATTCTTATGTGTTTTATAATCACAAGATGTAAAGAATGTATTTAAATATTTTTTCTTTTCATTTCATAGATGGGAACCTACTTAATTCATCATCAACAGCTCTTTGTACGTCCCCACTGCAGGGGCTCAGGGGGCCAATTCTACTAAATAAATTTTGTTTAAATCGAATCGAAAACGGAACGAAACCGAACGAAACTACAACTTTTAGTGGTTTTCCTATTCTACTCGGTGTCAAAATGGCGTCAAACGATACAGTTCCGGTTCTATTTTAGTTTAGCTAACTATCGATCAACAGAAACTGTAAACGGTATTCTACTCGCTCAATCGAACATAGAACTATACAGATGTAGTTATGCAAACCGGAACCAACCCACAAATCTGTCAAAATCGAATTATGTGCAGAGAAGCCTAAAAGTGTTGCAATTAAACTCAAATGTTGTAAATTCACAAAATTTCTTGATAAATAAATAAAATAAAATATATTCTACAAACAATTATTACTAAAAATAAGAAACCCATTTTTCTCAAAACTGACATCATGTGGCTGGTTTGCATAACTACGTCCATATACTTGAGTCGATCGTCGGCCCTTATTCCACTAAAATTTTGACACTTCGTTGGATCGAAACGCTACTGAAACGTTACTAAATCCGAACGTTTCATCTGTCAAAATTAACGATTTCTAAAAAGTTGCAAATTTCTACTTTTTGACGATCGATAGTTAGCGTTTAATGATAGATGTGAAACAATTTATATTATTTAAAATTTTAAGAGGTGCAATTAGGTACCCCCAATTGCTGAGTGAAATAAAATGCCTTGATCCATCTTCAGAATTGATAATTAAAAACATTTTGCCCTACAAAAGTAACTTCGGCAAACATAGGTATTTGTAGTGTTTGTATAGAAGAAGTTTTATCTCGGTACATTGGAGAGCTGCGAAACGTGTTCATCGGTACCTGAAGGCTATAAAAAATAGGAAACTGACCTATAACAATAGTGGTGATCTAATCGGATTTGCTGATGCCGATCATGGTGGTAATCTGGTGGACAGACGATCCTATACAGGATATGTTTTCCAAATGTGTGGTTCAGCAGTGTCATGGGAATCACGTAAACAGAGAACCGTTGCAACATCAACAACAGAAGCTGAGTACATGGCTCTAAGTGAAGCCTGTAAGGAAGCCATCTACATTCGCTCATTACTAAGCGACATCTTTTGCTTTTCGTCACCCATCACCATTAATTGTGACAATCAAAGTGCCATCAAATTAACAAAAAACAACACGCATCACGCCCGCACAAAACATATTGATATTAGACATCATTTTGTTTGTGAGTCTATATCCACTAAACAAGTCAATGTGTCATTCATACCATCAGCTCACCAAACAGCAGACATTCTCACAAAGCCACTGCCTAAGCTGAGACACTATATGTGCCTAACAAATTTAGGATTAGTTTAGTGTTATTTGTTTTGTGTTATTAGGTTAATTAGATTAGGGCATCATGTTAAGGTACTTTTGATATTATAGTGTTTTTGTACATACAGTGTGTTTATATAAAGGGTGTACATAAGTGTCCTGATTACGGGGAGGTGTAGATAAAACCTTTTTCTATATTAATCAGACACTGGCATCTTTTCGTATACCTTTTTGAATTAGTATTTTATACACTGTTTTTTGTTTTTATGTCACTCTCTTCTTTACTCTCATCTGACTTTTATGTATTTACAACGTGAAATATATTAAATACTCCAATCCACTGTGACTTTTAATTCCTACATTTTAAGAGTTTGTGAGTGAGTTATCAATAGACTGTAAAGAACATAATAACTTGTGTAAATCCATTGATATCTTTGCTTTATCATTAATTATTTATAAAAATACCTTATATTAAGGTACCAAAAAATTTTAATCTTTAACTGTCTAGCGCTTCAAGCATATAAAATTTTCTATCCAATATTATTTATTTCACAAAGATACAAGGATACTTTCAATGAGCACCCTGACGTCTGAAGTAAATATACAAAATCTGGGTATCAAACACCAGATTCCTCATCAACCTCATGAGAACATAGCAATCCATGTGATATAAATTATGTAAAATGATTTGAAAAAAAATGAAATCGAAAACTATGGAGCTAGATAAACAAGTGTGATAGTGTTTAATAAACTTTTTATGTACACCATTTCATCTATTTGTTATAGATAGTTCTGTAATTTTATGGTTGCTTATTGATATGTAAAAATGTTGGCAGACTTTAAAAATAAAATAAATTATATCTTGATTATTAATCTTAAATTATTATTTTTTATTAAAAACTTACATTTTATAGATAAATTAATAGGTTTTCATTCCTCTATGAATTTGAAATGTTGAATTCATATTATGTAGATTGTATTTACAAGCATGTGTGGAATTCCAATAAAAATGGCACTGAAAAAGTCCTTGTTTACAAATTAATTAATTTATCATTATTTTTTCTGATCACTTAATCTTAAAGGAAAATAATTAAAAAACCCACTTCAAGCAATTAGTGCTTGAGGTGGGATTTAAACCCATAAACACTCACAGTCTGGGCGTCTGCTAAAACCAATTTAACTACCAGATAACCAGCAGGTTTTGTGAATTTAAGAATTACTTGCATTACTAGTGAGCATATGCTCATTTATGTTTAGGAAGTTCACCAAAACTATATTAATAATACCATTATAGAGAATAGAATAGAAAATTCTTTATTGTTAACATTACACAAGTTATATAGGTATACAAATTTAAAACAGTTTAACAAAATAATGTAACAATTGGCGGCCTTATCGCTTAAAGTGATTTCTTCCAGGCAATCATGGGATGGAGAGAGAGAGATAACAATTTATGAAGACAGGGGTGTAAATTTTATCAATAACATTAAAAAGAAAATATGATCAAATAATAATCTTAATTAAAAAATTATAATTATGAATATTTTTTTTCTGACATAAGTATTACTCACTTTTTTATTTGGAGATTATAATATTATAAAGGATTATTACATCATATCATCATCATGTTTAAAGGATTGTTCAACAGGTAAATATACTGTTTATAAGATTTTAATCTGAATTATTTTTAATTTAAAAAAATTACATAAAATTGAGCTTAGCCGCAGCTCAGTTTTATGTAACATTTGAAATAACATGAGGCTTTCTGTAACCATATATTAAGTTGTGTGCAAGATAAATGTTCAGCCTAATTAGTATTACCTACATGAAAAATACATATTCTACTGTTTTTGACACAAAGTTAAAACCAACCACCAATTTTAACTCAAAGAAAACTGTCATATGCTATGATGGGTTACAATTTAGAACAAAAAAAAAATAAGCCTGTGAATCAGGAGCTCTTGTTCAATTTTGCAGGAATTTATATGTGTAAGTTCTTTTATATCAGTTGAAACTTATACTTAATTTGCTCATAGTCAGCATGGATGACAGCTGCGAGCAGATCTATGCAACTACAAGAATTTAATTTGTATACAACTTAATGTGAAAGATATGTCAAATCATTAATAATTTTCTCTGATTTTACTTATAATATCTAGTCAATAATGACATTTCTAATGGGTTTCTATAACAAACATTGTTTTAAATTTAATCTTGTATAGATTTTCCACAGTATATATTATGTTGCCTTGCTTGATTCGGTGTACAGATGTAGGTATAGCCAGATTTCGAAAGATATTGGATTCATTTCATCATCAATAATTCTCTCTTAAATGTCTACTTTGAGTCGACTATCGTTTATCTTCTTCACTATGTTATTGATACGTATGAATATTTATTTTCAATCGAAAACTTCTTCTTTTATTAAGAGCTTTCGCATAATTCTGCCAATTTCACGTGCGTAGCCAATACATGGTATGAATTATTTTATAAAATTAATTTTGTAAATAATATTTTCAAGTATAATGTTTCACTTTCAATTACAGTTTAATATTACAAAAAAATACACATATGCGGATTGTTTTAGTAGATATCCCATATTAAATTGTCATTTACAATTCAATTTTGTCAATTTCATTCTTCTTTTATTAATGGTATATCTGCGCATTTCACACAATTCTGCCAAAGTCAAGTGAATAAATTAATTTCTACAAGTAAAATGAAAAAGTAATGAATGAAAGATTAATTAAAACATTGTCTGTATCATTGTGGTTTGTATTGACAAAAAGTGAATTGGTGTTGCAATATGAAAATCAAACATCGATTGGAAAATAATCGATTAATTCACTATATGTAATAGAACTGCAGTAACATTTATTGAATAAAAAAAACTTTAATATACTTTTAGTTAATTTTGGTGCAATTTTGCATTTTTCCTAAGTTTTACGGACTACTACGGTTGTTGATTCAACAATGCCCAAATAAATAAATATATATATATATTATTATTATTATGTAATTTCCAATGCCCGTAATTGGAAATGTTATATGAAAACCTAATGAAGTTACTAAAGTTATATGCAATCATCATTTAACTTTAACATTTAATTTTTAGTACAAACAAATATATAAATTTAATGATTATTTTTGTTGTCATTCTTTTGAAACGGAGTTGTTTAAAGTAAAGTATACACCTCTGGATTAATGCTCGTCCTAGTCTTGGACTGATTGCATACCTCACTTATTACAGTTTGTTAGTGACCGAAAATGAGTCAAAACTTTTCTGTTCACGACCTACCTATGTAGGTACCGTTTTATTTTACGGAATCATATTATTCACTTTCATGCTACTTTATCTCACATAATAACATTTATTTTGCGAATTAAAACTCGGTATAAACAATAAAATAAACCAACACCATTCGAATTTTGAAACTTAACTCTTTAAGCTTGACGTTATCTTTAGTCGACGCCAGGATTTATAGTATTTCATCTGACTTTTTTGTTAATTAAAAGACTTAATTATATCGGATTTATGCTTTAAATATTAAGCATGTTTAAAGTTGAGTGCTTAATAAAAGTTAGAATTGGGTATATGACGATTTTCTGAAAACTAATTAATTAAAATAGTTGTTTGATACATTATAAACACACTGTCAATATATTACATGAGAATCTGTTCTATTTTCGATGAATATAATTGTTTAAATCTACAGATTCTAAGAAATAAACTTTTATTAGATTATTATCTAACATGATGATAATAGTACGAAACTTATTTTTATAGTGTCAAATACCCATAATGATAAAAATATTAATTATAAATTCGCGTTTCGGGTATTTTCCCTTATAGCTTAACACTTAGGTATGCACTTTCTTAATGTAGCTAATATTCGGGTGTTTCGTCCGTATTTTAAAACGTTCGAATAAGAATATAATAGATTCATTACGTACAGAAATGATAAAAAAATCAAGGAATGAATAATCATTAATCGTCTCCCGTTTAACTAATAATTTCATTTATTTTATTCTGGTAACACTAATGACAGCTGTTTGGTTCGGCTGCGATTTGGCTCCGATTACGTTTCAGTTTAGTAAACGTTCGTTTGATAATTTACGTTAGCGGAATGCAAATTTACAGCAAAAATCGAAACGTAACCGTTACAGAAACGCTATTGATGATCGATCGTTGTAAATTAGTAGAATTGGCCCCCAGGCCTTCCTTATGGATGGTTAAAGAGGATGGGCCATGACCCTCCACGCTGGCCCAAATGCAACTGGGACCAATGACTTAACGTTCCTCCCGGAGCAGGGAGTAGCTAAGGAAAATATTTTTTTAGTCATCCATCCCGTGACCGATCCTTGCGAAAGTTGCTCTTCTACAACATTTGCGGGCCACAGCGTTTATCCACTACGCCACGGAGCTACTTCTAACTACTTAATTAAATAAATCGAATTGACTTTTGCACAAGGTTATGTAAAGAGAATATTGTGCATTAAACATAATTTGCGTATACGTGATCGATCACTATATAGTATAAAACAAAGTCGCTTTCTCTGTCACTATATATATGTATGCTTAAATCTTTAAAACTACGCAACGGATTTTGATGCGGTTTTTTTTTCACAGATAGGGTTTTTTCAAAAGGAAGGTTTTTATGTATTATACAAGACCACGCGGACGAAGGCGCTGGCGAAAAGCTAGTATAAATATAAAGTTTTAATTTAAACTACATAGGTAGTGGAAGGTTTGATTTATTTTAACAATCAAATATTTATTTTAATGTTAAATAAGGACATTTATTATTATTCACTTTGAAATAATGTGGGCGAATGGAGTGGGGAAGTTTTTTTGTCCCTTTCTTACGGTGCGGTAGTGTACGCTACGGCTTGTTATATTTTGACGTCATAAGTTAATATTTTCTTGCTCGCAATTTAAAAGGTTTATAAAATGTTGATAGACATTTTGCTTTAATATATTATTCGATTCTGTAAATTAGAATTCTTTATATTAAATATCTACTATAATAATACCCTCCAATCTGCATTGGGCCAGCGTGGAGGGTCATGGCCCATCCTCCTTAACCATCCATAAGGAAGGCCCGAGCCCCTGCAGTGGGGACGTAAAAGGGCTGGTGGTGGTGTATATTAAATATCGTAAAATATGTATTGGCGTAAAAAACATGTAAGTTCTTTTGCTAAAGATATCATATTGTTATTGTTGTCGGTATATTGTAATTTGTGTTTGTATTATTATTAGACTACAAATGTTCTGCCAAAATCGACGGTGCCCGACGAGGTTGTTGACATAAGAGATATTTATATCCACAACCAAATAATTTCGCTGATCATTATTAAAGTAGGTAATAGATTTTTAAGTTTATCTACTTAAGCATGACCACAAGGACAACTGAACTGATTATAATTTAAGTTGACAAATTAGAATTTTAGAGGGCCAAGCAACATTTTTTATTAAGGTGTATAATTTGCGTAGTGTATAGTGTGGAACTTACATCTACATTAGAACTAATAAATTTAAAAAAAAAACAAATACTAATATGAAATTACACGAGCAAACATTTTTTCCCTTTATTTTCAAACTGTATTAATTCTTTTTTTTCATGTACGAATCGAATCATGTAAATATAATAGTTTTTCCATATGATTTACAAAGTTTCATACCTGCGACGGCCGCCACGTACTGCGTCGCCTGTCGCGTTTGTCCTCCTTTCTCCTGTACGGAGAGCATATGCATAGTCGGTTTCTCCATCTCTGCAGGTTTCTGATAGCCTGGTACTCACGACATTCTGAAACAAACAGAGGCGAGTGTTTCATATCATTGATTAAATATAGGAAAATAACTCCGACAATCGCCGAAATTGGCGCTCTGTGGCAGACCGCCAATAACAATCTCAGCCTGTATTTAAAATTCCACTATTACGCTAGAGCTATTCAAACGGTAACGTAAACGCAAAGAAATCAAATTGAATTCATTTATTTAGTCTAGGCTGTTATAACAGAAGCATTTGTAAAAGTCTAACCTAAACCAACGATTTTTAAATCTATGGCGAGAGACCCTTACCGAGAAGAAACTCGGCGAGGGCTGCTTTTTCCTCTTTGTTTTATTTTATACAGATATGTAAAGATTGAACAATGACTTGGAAAGTCCAACACAATATTAGAAAATAAAATAGCATATATTGTATATATTCACTCGTAAATCGATTCACATGCCGAGCCAGACAAGCTCACTGATAAATAATTAATACAAGGATAAGTAGGCTGAGCAGATCTCCACTAGCAGCACCCATCACGAGCATGACCCATGGGACAGCCATCGTTTCGCTCGTCCATATTTTAGAGAACGTTAATTTATAAAGTCGTAAAAATTGCTTAAAATTGCGAAGTAGCGTTTCAATGCTGTACAATATTCCTTTCGATGCCATCGTAAAATTTTAAAGAATTGAAACTTCATATATCTAATTCGATAAGTTTAAGACGTCCATTGGTAAAATATTAAATACTTTGCCGTGATGTCCCGATATGCGTTACGTTAGCTTTAAAAAGTTAAAACGGAACACACGTTTATTTACTTTCAGTTTTTATAAAGTAATTTTTGCCAAGCTCAGTTGTTTGCCAACTGACAAAAAAAACAACGGCGCTACAAAAGCAATCATTCATTTAGCGCCCCGCTGTGTACGTAGACATTTATAGCACATTTTAGTCACAAGCTCTCAGTCTAAATGACAGAGACATGAAATTTCGGAGTAGGTGTCAGTAATTTTTATAATATAGGACCTCGATGGTTATACGCCCGCAATGGTTAGCGCTCCCGGTTTGCAATATGATTGTTTCGCAAGGGCGGATGATAGGATGGGTGCCCGAAAATTTCAATCTCCTCCGTGCTTCGCAAGGCGCACGAAAAGCCCTTGGTCCCGGCTGCGTCTGCAATCATTAAGACGCACCGGGCCCGAGAGGTGTATATTTGATTTGTTTCTATAGAGGCATGAGCCTTAGCAGTGGGGATATTAAAAGGCTGGTAATGATGACATAACTTTAAAAAAACATAGGTTAAAAAAATGTAATTAATGTTAATGGGCGTTGGTCCTATTCTATAAATTAATTTGATATATAGTGACAGGGAAGCATAGTTAAGTTTAATTATAGTGAACAATAAGTCATTAATAAAATATGAGTTTTTAAATGTCATTTTTAGAGTCATGAACTCATTAATGCCTGTAATAATAATAAAAAGTAATTGGAATGCCTGTATTATTAATGTCTGTATGTATGTTTCCTGTAAATAAATAAAATTTAAGCATGGAGACGCCTCAGGGACACATCAAATGAAAGGACTTATTGTGGGAATCTGAAATAATATTTTTCTATATAATTTTGAAAATACAATTCATCTTTTTGATTCAAATGAAAAATTAAGAAAATATGCGAAAATTGACCATCAACCGTGAGATGTCACATCACATCTACTATTTGAATTAGAAAATATGCATTGCCTGTTGATATAAAATAATTACCAAGAACAAAAAATGTAATTTGTAATAGATGACATTAAAATAAATAACATAAATTTTTGACATGATACAAAATTTGTCATTTTGTGTGATATTATAGTTTCATCTGATACTGCATATTCGTGGTCGAATATCATATAACTAGAAAACTTGTAAGCAATCTGTGAAATGTGAGGAAACAAAACGAGACAAAGTTTTCGAATACCATCAAAACTTGTACTGGAAGTCAAAATATTTAATATTTATTTTTGACAAGACATCGTTACGTGTGTTGTGCAAACCTTGAAGGTAAACGTAACAGTTACAGCCGTATGTTAATGAGGTGCTAATCACTACAATGTGTACCCGCTACATACATGCAAACAAAACATTCATGCAAGTGTTAAAGTACAATGAACAGTACGTCAGGACATTCAAAACTATCAAATTAAAACCTCCAATTGAGGAAATTTGACATGTTGTGGTAGCCTGACCTGCAGCCGTTCTGAATAACTCCCTGAGTATTGGCATTAGTCTCTAAAGTCTCATTTTGGAGTCCCATTTGGGAATGTACATAAATAAGTTTGTTTATCTACGTTTGGAATGGGACATAACTCATTTGTAGAGATGTGCCGAATATTCGTTTAGTATTCGGCTTATTCTTCATAATTTTTTTCTAATTTGGCAGAATTATTCGGTTTTAGTGTCGAGTATATTCGGTTCAAGTATTTCTATTTGCTTGGCTACACGACACTGTATAAAATTAAAAGACAAAACATCTTATGGAAGATTAATGTTACATTATAAGTCAAAGAAATCCTATGAATAATGTGTTCATAAAGCTAATAGAATAAATCAATGAACTTAAATCATATATATTTTTAATGAAAAATGCTTAAGAAACCAAACCCAGGTTCTTTAAGATGATATTCGAACCCACGACCTTTCGTAATCTGGGCGACTGCTCTAACCGCTGAGCTACCCAGGACCCAACAGGACTAAGCACTTGTTATTTTTCTCTACTAGTTAGCGTATTTTCATCAATCAATGCTTGAACACTCAAAAGTCAAAATAAACATTTTTACAAATATTTTAAATTTTCATCAAAATATGATCATCATACATTACCTTCACCTTAGAACTCAGTAAATTATGAACCGACACAAAAAAAAACTTACATCCTTTTCAAATTGAAAAATTGTTTATCAACTTGACACAAACACAAATTATATTTAATTTAGAAGTTCATTTAAATATTAATAATTTTGGTAGTTTATTGATCTAAGAAATTATTATAATGACTACTAGATTATAATATAAATAAAACACTTTGCAAACAGCCACCAAGCGTCTAATGACATTATAAAAACAACAAGTCTATTTAAAAATACGTATATAAATGAAAAATAGTCAATAACACGTGCCTTATATTATAACCGGTCCAATAAATGTTTTATTGATTAAATGGCAACTTAATAATCGATAGTATATTATTTGGTAAATATTTATTTAAATTTATTTATTCTACTTTATAGTATATTTTTATAGTTGTGTGATGTTTAGGAAAGATAACCAGTTCATTCAATGTAGTTAATTTGATTAGAATATACTAAAAAAATAAAAAACATCACAACTCGAGGATGGAAATAAAAATCGGATTTGTTAGGAAAAATGGAAAAATAATTTGTTAAAAGAAAATAATCGAAATATAGGTGAGAGACCTAATAGATACAGATACAGTATATCGATCTAGTAGGTATATAAAAATATATCTCCAAAATGTATGTACGCGCATAACTTCCAAACGACTACACCAAATTGAATGATTCTTTTTTTCATGTGTTACATATTGTCAGGACAAGGTTTGTATATAAGAAAATTTATAAAAATATATAATATATAAAAAACGGGCATAGGGCGGTACGAAGTTCGCCGGATCCGCTAGTATGGTATATAATTCTTCTCATCTGTTATTTGATTGTGACTAAATTAATCTGTTATACAACATGTAGATTAACAATTTAGAACCGGTGGCCTAATCGTCTGATTTGAAAATGTATCGCAATTATACCCTTCGGGGAAGAATTGATCAAAATCCTTTCTTAGCGGATGCCTATGTCATATGTTATCCGCTAATAAAGGATTACCTGCATACCTGCAGCCCGATCCGTCCAGTGGTTTGGGCTGTGCGTTGATAGATCACTAATGGTCAGTTGCACAAACGTCCATTAAGGTTTAATGACGCCTTTAAGCTCTAATGAATGTCATATTTGTAATGTCGCTTTAAACTAATGACAATTTTAATGGTCGTTTGTGCAACTGGCTGTATGTCAGTCAGTCACCTTTGTGTTATATATATTTAGATTTAACGTGTAAAGGTAAAATAATGACAATTAGAATGTTCAAGATAATTAGAACGTAATAAAAACGTAAAGTAACATTTGCTTCTAACGCTTGTTTTATTTACGACATCGTTAATTGAATATCTTAAAAAAAAACACTCGCTCGCAATCGCTTCTATGTGTTAAATAATAATGTCAAAGTGTAAGTTCGTGAATATCATATGTCAAATAATTGAAGAGTGTGAAGTTCGTGAATATCTTTCAAATGTGGAATTGGATTGCGATTGATTTTAAAATTACACAATTAGGCCCCTGGTTGCCTTGTTAAATCAGGGACCGTCACTGTAAAATAATGTTCCGCGTAAGTGCGTATTTTTTTTTAGCAATTCCCATAAACTGCTGTTTATCTTTGAAAATTAGCACAGTGTACACGTTCTAAATAATCGAAAATATATATGGATTACATGAATATAAATATATTTTTTATTTGCTAAATCCTTCTAATTTATTGTACCGAGCAACCTAATAGCTCGCCTGAAAGGAAAGAAGACAACTTAAGTATATTTTTTTGATTATATTGACATGTTTTGTTTGTTGAAAATAACAAATGTAAATGTGTCTTTTATGACTCGACGCCTGTGTTCGGTCCCTCTCTATTAGATTCGGTACCGATTGATCGATAAAATACCAATAGAATCCATAATTTATCTCTACTTTACCGATAGTCCTTGAACCAATTAATGTCTTTATTTTTAGACTAAGACAATCTTAAATGGATATTAAAATGGTAATAATAATCGTTGATCGTGGAGCTCGATGGCACAGAGGTTAGCGCGTCGGGTCTGCGAAGTTAAGCAATTTGCGTAAGGGCCGGTCATAGGATGGGTGACCAAAAATTTATTATTTCAAGTTTATCTGTGCTATGGATGGCACGTTAAGCCGTTGCATCTGCAT